AGGAGAGAGGATAATGCACTCTTAATATTTAATGCATATTCAAGAAAACTGAGAAGAGGGGTGACTTGGAAGGAAAAGGGGAGAATGATTAACGTGGTGACATTGATCAAAATGCATTGTTCTTATGAACAGATTTGTTGAATGGAAATCCCTTTGTATACCTAAAGACAATAAAAATGTAATTTAAAGTGTAGATTTGCCAGAAGTTAACTTGTGTTCAAAGTCCTCTGTGGATCAGCTCCTGAATTCTTCCCTCAGTGAGACCAAGAACTTCCCATTTGTCTCCCCCATAGGGAGATGCATCTTGGAAAAATGGACTTTGATCTGTGTTTTGGTTTTGGTTTGACCATCATTAGTAAAAATGACACCTTTCTTATAAGGAAAGATTTTAGGAACACTTGAGTTTACTTGATATTCTCAGTGACTTCAGTAACTCAAATATGTTTATAATTACCAAAATAAATTACATTTATAATTACAAAAAAATAGAATTAAAAAAGTGACAAACAATATTGGATGTTAATTGTCCCTTTGTGTGTATCTGTGCTAGTACTGGAGTTGAACTGGTGGTTTCTCTCACACACCTTCTTTTCTCCCTTCCTTCCTGTTTGTGGACACACTGGAGCCTGAACTCTAGCCTGACTGTTTTTCTCAAGGCTGCCATTTTACCATTTAGTCTCTGACCCACTTCCAGCCTTTTCCCTGTCAATTTATGCTAAGATTGGTCTTCCCAGACTCACATCTCAGCCTCTTGAGTAGCTGACTTAGAAATGTGAGCCACTAGCATCTGAGAATCAAACCAGGGCCTTATATGCATGCTAGGTAAGCACTCAACCATTAAGCCACATTCCCATCCCGAGCATCTGGTATTAATTATACTTCTCACTGGAAATAAGCAGCCTGGTTTATAGTATGGGTTGATAAAAGAAAATGGCAACACAGTGTTTGTGCAAGTGCCAGTATTCCTCAGACATAATTTCCTGGTAGACTTGAGTGTGGCAAGTGTTCTACCACTGGCCACACACTAACTCATGATGGTCTTCTTTCCCTGCTTTTTCAAAATAGAAAGTGATGCCTAAGTCCACTGACTCACTCCTGTAATCGTAGATACTCAGGAGGCTGAGATATGAGTATTGCTGTTCAAAGCCAGCTGGAGCAGGAAAGTCCATGAGACTCTTACCTCCAATAAAAACCCACCAGAAAATTGGAAGTGGCACTGTGGCTCAAGTGGTAGAGCACTTGCCTTGAGCTGAAGAGCTGAGGGACAACAACCGGGCACAGAGGTCAAGCTCCATGACCAACAAAAAGAGACAGAGAAGGGGAGGGAAGAGAGAAAGAGATTTTATTATTTCAGTGAAAGTTTTATTTTACTTAAACCCTAAAAGATATTTCCCAAATATGTCCTGCCTTCCCCTCAACTCATCTACTTTTAATCAATGCCTTCCATCTCAGGGGAACATCTGTTATAACGATGACATACTTTTTCTTTTCTTTTTCTTTGTCTATCTTGGGGCCTGAACTCTGGGCCTGGGCGCTGTCCCTCAGCTCTTCAGCTCAAAGCTAGTGCTCTACCACTTGAACCATGGCGCCACTTGTGGCTTTTTCTGCTTATGTGGTACTGAGGAATCGAACCCAGGGTCTCATGGATGCAAGGCAAGCATTCTACCACTCAGCCACATTCCCAACCTCTCCTTTTATACCTTTTGTATATCATATGGGTCTTGAGAGTATCATGACAGTACGATTGGATATTTTTGTTGTCCTACAAATTCTGTATTGTGTATACACCTCTTTCCTAACCCTAAATCTTGGCAGCCCTGATCTTTTAATTTTATCCATAGGAATAAAATAGTTGGAAACATACAGATCTGACCCTCTTCAGATGGATTTTCTTTCACATAGAAATAGGCATTTAAGGCTCTTCAAGGCTTTTAGGTGTGACAGCTCATTTCAATGGTGAAGATTACCAAGTTGTCTGGATATATCATAGTTTATTTATCCATTCACTGATACCTTGCTTTCTTTAGCTTTTGACAATTGAGAATAAAGTTACAACACATATTGATGTGAAAATGCTTATGTAAATATATACTTTGGAGTCCTGGAGCCAAATACCCACATGTACAATTGCTGGATAGTATGGTCAGAACATTTGGGGATGTGGTACAGTAGTAGAGCTAGGGAACCTTCAGCAGGATAGGATATGATCAGATAGAGAGAAAGAAGAAGAGAGAAGAGAACACAGAACAGGACAACAGGACAGGACAGGACAAGATGGGAGAGCATGGGAGAGGATAGTATGGTCAGCACAGAAATGGAGGGACAAAGGGGAACAAATACAGCAGTGACACAAAACACGACTGAAAATGGGTGGGGAGGTATGGATGGGCACAGGAAGGAAAAACTGGGCGAGAGTTAGAAAAGGGATGACACTGATAAAAAAGAAATGTACTCTGAATTGGATGTATGTAACAATAACCCCTCTCTACAGCACATTTACAAACAAGTAAATAAATAAGTAGAAAAACTCTAAGAAATTCTCATCAGCAAGGTAACAAACTGAGAACACTAAATATGAGCAAGGATATGAAGCTTTAGCAACTCTCATTCCTTGGTGGTAGGAATGCAAGATGGGACAGCCATTTTGGAAGATGGAAACTAAAATAAGGCAAGGAATATTAGTAACATTAAATGCCAATGAGTAGGGTAAAGAACTAGAAAGAGAGTTTGGCCATTTTTTACAAAACTAAAAAATATTCAGCTTACAACCCTTTGTGTTGAGGCAGAATTTGAGACTAGCTTCAAACTCACCATTTTCCTTCCTCTTTCTCCTATACTAGGGATACAAGGGACTAAAGGCATGCAAGCCCATGTCTGGAAACACCTTTCCTTTTTTATCTAGCACCATGGATTATACTCAGGCATTCAGGTTTGCTCTTCTTGCTTGCTCAGCTGTCACTCTACCACTTGAAACATGACTTCTCCAGCCCAGCTGTTACTGATTACTTTGGAGATGTGGACTCCCTGAATTTTCTGACAGCACTGTTTTGATGAGCGTTCTTTCAGGTCCCAGGCTCCTGAGTACGTAAGATTTCCGGGCTGAGTTAGTGGTCAGGTTCAAAAGTCCGTTTCAGCAAGGTGGGCTATATTTCACTAAAGAATTACTGACATTTTTTTACTGTCCTTAGAAAAGCTATTAAATTCCTCCCTATTATCGGTGAATAATTAGAATCAACAGAGAGAGAAAATATGGATTCCAAAAGAAAATTCAGAATACTCTTCAAAACTCAGCTATCCGCCAAACTGCAATACCCAAGCACCTCTCCATTTATATATAAAATAATATGCATACTGAAAAGAACCCCAAAGATAGAAAACAAAGAACCTCTTCTTAGTTTGTGCGATCATTTTAGAGGACTCTGTATTCTTAACTTCATCTATGGTGTATACATGCGCACATCTGAGGGAAGGTAGGAGCAGAGCACAGAATCAGTGCAAAGCAGGTGAAAAAATACAGCAGTAGAGCCCATAAGGATCACTGGACATTGGTGATAATGGACTAATCAATGCAAGGGTGGAGATGGGGTTGGAGGGAATGAGAGAGAATAAGGGAATAGCTGATAGGAAGCAAAAGGAAAGAAATGTACATATCACTCTATTTGTAAAGAAAAAGTGTCATTGTAAAAGGTCATAGAGTTCATAAGCAATGTAGATTAAGATGATCACTAAAAGGATCCATCACATCCATCCTAGGAGACCATGGGGAGGCAGGCAGGCACAGGAGAAAGATCATTACAAGGATTAATAGAGGAGCCATATTTGCCCCGAAGAGAGAGCACATGGCAACCTCTGCTATCTAGGTAGCAGCAGGGTCTGGAGGTTAGGAAGTGAGGTAGATGGGAGTTAGGTGGGTCTGGGCAGAGAGAGGGAGAGGCCAGCTGTACCGTGGGAACTCCAGGGCAGGGAGGGGCTCTGGATGGAGCTGAGGACCAAAGTTGGGCATAGGCTTACCGTGACTACCATTATGAAGATCAAAAGGTGTTTGTGAATTTAAAATAAATAATTCAGCTTTCAACAGCCTGAAATTGCTACATTAGCCTCTGCATGGGTAGAACCTAAGGAACTAGTCTTTTAGAAGAGACCCATGTCTAATGAAGAGGAAAAGTTACCTGGACCTTGATTGAAAGGATCCCACTTGGAAACCATGAACTGAGCTTTCTACAGTGAAGTAGAGAAACAAAATCATCCATGGAAAGAGACCTGAAGCACAAACCTTCAGGTAAAGAAACAGATGCCTTCAATGAAGCAATGTCCCCTTTCCCTTCTCCTCTCCCATCCTCTCCCTTGTTCTCCATCTTGTCCTGTGCTGTGTCTTGTCTTGTTCCATTCCCACTTCTTTCCTTTCCTCCCAAATGCTCCCCTATCCTATTCTATCCTATCCTGGATTGAATGCTGTCAGTGCTGAAACTTTCCTAGCTCTAGGACTGCTCCACATCCCAAACCATTTGCTCTTATTAACTTTTATTAATTTGTGATAGTTTATGAATCGATCCCTCATTCTCTATCCTCTTTGTACCATATCCTGCATGGTTGGGACAGAAAAATCAACAAGACCCATTCTGAAGCCATTTTTGTTCTAGCATATGCACCCCTCAAACCTCAGTCATGCTCACTCCATCAGAGTGAAGACTTGCATTCCTAGGCACCAGATACATGGGTTCTGTCAACTAACTAGTTTATCATGAAGGTTTGGATCTAGACTGGAGGAATCCAGGGTTGGATTCATCTGTGATTGGGTGGATTATCTTTGCAGGTTTTTCAGGGCTAGTTCAGCCTCTCTAGGGTGGGTCCAGGGTGGGGAAGGGTGGATTATCTGAGTGTGCACATAAAACCCACAGTTTCAGAACATCACCTTTACAATCAGCTTCTTGGACTTGCTCTGTGCTGAGTAAAGCAAGGAGAGAAGACAACATGGACATGAATTCCTTTGGCATAGGGGAATGGTGGCCAAGCCTGAAAATTTCAATGCCCCATTGGTCTTTTACCTGGAAGAGGAGCTGGAGCAGATAATATTCGGTAGGTGGCCCTTATGCCATCTCCTGTCTCTTCACATTCATCAGTCTCTCCCCATGTTTCCTCTTGGATCTGTGCCCAGCCTCCACCCTCACGTTCACCTGACTCCCAGTTCTGTTGGTGGTTTCCCTGTTCTTCCTCTCTCCTTTTCTGTTCCCAGGGCAGGAGGACAGATACCTCCACTGCATAGAAGAGCACAGCCATACCCTTATTCAGCTGGAGCCCTGGTTCACAGTCACAGGCCACACTCGAGTCACTGTGGTGGGTCCACCTAGGGCCAGGCAGTGGCTGATGGGCATAACATGGCTTTTGGAGCACAGAAACTGTCACTATCAAGCTCAAGATAAGTGTCTGTGATCTAATTGCGGTTGAGGCCTTGATGCCAAACTTGGTGCTCCTATATGGCATCATAAAGACTTGGGCTGCTCAGGAATCTGAGAATCTAGATATTCCCACAGTCCCCTGCAGTGCAGGACCCCAGAGTCAACCATATTATGAATCAAGTCATCGAGGGAGGAAAAGGAAATGAGGGATATGAATGGGTTCTCTTAGAGGGGTGTGCTGGGATTTCTCTTGCCTCCCCCTCCTTCCCTTGTGTCCACACAGGTTTCTTGTGCTCCTAAATGCTCTGACCTTTCTTCTTCCTCCCAAGGCTACCAGATGCTGCAAAGTGTCCGGAGCCAGCCCCTAACCAACAAGGACATGGCTGCCAGTCTCAATGTGCAGCTTGACTCCTTGGTGGTGAAAGGGTATCAGGATGAATGATCCAGCTCTCCACCTTCCTCAGGCTTCCTTCGGCTGAGTGCTTCAGTGTCTTGGGCTCCCATGCCCTTCATTATCCCAGGAAGACCCACCTCCTCTGCAGAGCTAAGTGAAGACACGGCAGACTGTGGTGGACACTGACATTTTCGCCTTTGTTATCTACCTGAGGCCTTCTAGACACATATCTAAAGAATGTGCTCTGCTGGTGAATGATATCCAATAAAACTGGTTATGCAGTCTGCAATGCCTCTATGTGACTCCCTCTCTTCCTCTCCCCCTTCTTTCTTTGTAAGCTTATCCTGCCATTCATTTTCTCATAATCCCTCCCAACTTTTAGGAAACACACAGCCTCTTTCAAGACATCTCAGATGTTCATATTTGTAGTTGGTTTGTTCATGTTTCAGTTTTAAACAGTGATTACATAGTGATCTCAAAGCAGGAAAGAATCATGGTTTGCATTTGTCTCCTGAACTCAGTGTGTTCCAAAAATGGGGTGTCATCTGGCAAAAATGTCATTTTACCTGCTATCTTCAAGCCTCCTGTTCAACAGATACAGTGACTCTATATACCAACTTGGATACAAATAACAAATAAGTGTGCTTGGTGGATAATGCCTATAATCCTAGATTTTCAATTTAAAGTCTGCACAGGGACACCTACCCATCTCTTGGCTAAGTTTCCACCCAGTATCTGTTACCTAGGTAAGTGGCAGACCTGGAAGCAGTCACCTTCCCCTCCTGCTAGGCCACATCCTGGGCCACCTCTGGTCACATGCTTCCCATCTGACTTTAGGAGGGGCCCAGACCCTGAAGTCACATCTGGAGCCAGTGTGGCCACACTTTTCCCCCACCTGGCTACAGCTCTTCCTGTCCCTGGCCTAGATAAGTTCTGGCCCAGAGGTGGGTCACCCCTTCCTTTTTCTGCTCTGCCTCTCCATCATGCAAGGTGGGGGCAGCAGGTGGGTAAATAAACTTCTCCTGCCTGAATAGCGCCTGGTGTTCTCTTCATCGGCTACCTAATGAAACCTACTTAATGTACTTTATACTCAGGAGGCTAAGATTAGTCTATGAAGCCATCCCATGCAGGATTATTTAGAAGACTCTTCTTCAATAAAGAGTTCAATAGGGATGTAGGGTTCAAGTGGTAGAGGGCCAGTCTTCAGAAAAAATACCTGAGACAAACCCAGGCTGAGTTCAAGCCCCAATACTGCTCGTGTTCCCCTCTAAAAAATGCTTAGGTAGCCAGCAAACTGGCAGGTCATCAGACCACTGAGGAGTCTGGGGGAACTGGCAGAGCTGTAGCTTGAATTCCTGCATTTGAGATGGGGGAAGTCACTGTTCCCGCCTGGGTGCCTTAAGAAATGTGTATCCAGGAGTTCGTATGTTCCCCTGTGAAGACAATGATTGAACACAAGGAATACACCATACACCATCCACTCTGCCCTGGCTGCTGCTTCTCATCAGCACCTCATGTCTAAAAGGTCAGAATACACAGGAAGCCGGGCTCTGGTGGCTCAAGCCTGTAACCTAGCTACTCAGGAGGCTGAGATCTGAGGATCATGGTTCAAAGCCAGCCCGGGCAGGAGAGACCGTGAGACTCCTATCTCCAATAAACCACCAGAAAACCGGAAGTGGCGCTGTAGCTCAAGTGGTACAGCACTCGCCTTGAGCTGAAGAGCTGAGGGACAGCGCCCAGGCCCAGAGTTCAAGCCCCACGACCGACAAAAAAAAAAAAAAAAAAAGAATACACAGGAAGTCCCTGGGTAGTGTGTGAAAATAAAGTTAGGAGTCTTTTACTCTTTCTTTGTGTTGCTTTTATGGCTTTTGTGTGTGGACACTACCAAGGTTTTCCTCTCAGGTCTTTGAGCTCTCACATGAGCCACACCCCCAGATCCAGTTTTTTGTTGATTAAGTGAAGAGTGTCACAGAATTCTCTACCCAGCCTGGCTTCTAACCTTGGTTCTCACACATTCCCCTTGTGAGTTAGCCAGGATGAAAGGCAAGCACTGCAAGGCCCACATTCACAGGACTCTTCCCTTTTGCTTACTAAGCATGTTTTAGTCTGATTTTCACTTAAAACCCATCTTCCCACTTTCCCCTAAATTTCATGACTTGAAAACTTTTCAGATTAAAGAGATGTTCTTCCCAGAGGGGAATTCAGTCACCAGAGAAGATTCTAATAATAGAGGAAATGCTCACAGGGAAATGGAACTATTTCGTCTTTGAGAAGTACTTAACCCACATGGGATAAGTAGGGACTTGGGGGTAATCCCTGCAATTAGAGGTGACAAAGGGAAATCAAGATTTTGAAGCCAGCCCTGGATATATACAGAATATTCTCTCAAAAAACAAACAAAACAAAACAACAACAACAACAACAACACCAAGCCAGGCACCGGTGGTTCATGCCTGTAATCCTACCTATTCAGGAGGCTGAGATCAGAGGATCACAGTTCAAGGCTAGCTTAGGCAGTCAGTGAGACTCTTATCTCCCATAAACCACTAGAAAACTAGAAGTGAAGTGCTGTGACAGCACCCAAGCCCAGAGTTCAAGCCCATAACTGACAAAAGAACAAAACATAACACAACAAAACCCAAAAAACACTTCCAGGAAGTATTCTCTCTCTTCTTAAGGATAATCTCCATTTTTCCCCATTCTCAACAACCCACACTGAAAAGAAAGTTCCAGCTGTATCAATACTAAATATACGATTTTATTGTAAAAGTCTCTTCAAACAGTCAGAATATTCTCATTTTATGCATTGATATGATACTTTGTTAGAAAAGTATGATTTTGTTTAAATATTCACAAGAATTATATGATATTAATCCAACTTATTTTAGAATGGTCCCCAGTAAATACAGAATTCATTTAGTAAAGTACCTGAGAATCTTTGATAGTTAAAAACCTTTCTGATTTTGTTCCTTTTGAATGATTAAAATAGTTTGGTATTAAAATATGTATATGGGTATTGCTGGGCGGCTCATGCCTGTAATCCTAGCTATTCAGGAGGCTGAGAAAGGAGGATCAAGGTTTGAAGCCAGGGCAGAGAGCAAAGTCCATGAGACTCTTAACTCCAATTAACAACCAAAAAACCTAAATACAACTCAAAATGCTCCAAGCCCCAAAACTGGCACACACACAAAAAAGTATGTGTGTATATTATGTGTATATTTATATGTGTGTATATACATTTTAGAATCCATATATACTTTTTATTATCTATATATAGGTACATATATGTGTATATATACAAATAGATGGATATATACATATGTATATATATGTATGTATATATTATGTACATACATATATGTAGAGTTCTATGTATTGATTTTAACTTGAATCATTTTAACTTTTTTTTTTCTGCTTGGTCAAGGGGCTTGAACTCTGGGCCTGGGCCAGACTTTGAGCCGAGATCCTCAGACCTCAGCCTCCTGAGTAGATAGGATTATAGGTGTGAGCCACCCAGCCTGAACATGCTTTTATTTGTTTTTTGTTTTGTTTCATTTTGTCAGTCATGGGGCTAGAACTCTGGGCCTGGGCATTGTCCCTCAGCTCTTCAGCTCAAGGCTAGTGCTCTACCACTTGAGCCAAAGTACCACTTTCAGTTTTCAGGTGATTTATTGGAGATAAGAGTTTCAAGGCTTTTCTTTTTCCTAGGCTGGCTTTGAACTGCGATCCTCAGGTCTCAGCCTCCTGAGTAGCTAGGATTATAGGCATGAGCCACCAGCACCTAGCTTGAACATGCTTTTAAAGATATAAAACATTTCACCTTCAGGGTGGACTAGGGTTTTGTGTCCTTTAGGCAAGCACTCCACTTCTAAGCTATTTTCTTCAGAAATGATGTATCTGTTTCTCCCTACTGCAAACTCAGAATGTAGCAACAATCTAACATTTCAAAGTAGATGCAATTAAAAGTAAATTGAAAGATTCACTGATTTGAAGCAGAATGCTGTCTTTGAATCTGCAGCAGGCATTCTGACCTAGTGAAATGTCTTGGGTGGGTGACTGGAAACCTGAGACCGGGAGTTGCCCAGGTATATGCTGCTTCATTCTTAACTTAGTGGCTATCAACAGAGCCATTTCAACATATCATCTAAGAAAACACACCTAGCTGGGGCTGGAGTGCAGAGATGAGGGAGAAGGAAGGACGAAGTGAAATGGAGGAAGGAATTGTTTGGTTTTTGTTTTGTTTTTATGGGTGCCAGTCCTGGAGCTTGAACTCAGGCCCTAGGCGTTGCTCCTGAGATTTTTTTCTCAAGGCTGGTAATCTACCACTTGAGACTCAGCACCACTCCCAGCTTTTTCTGAGTAGTTTTATTAGATAGTAGTCTCACAGATTCTCCTGCCCAGGCAAGCTTCAAAACACGATCCTTATCCCAGCCTCTAGCTAGGATCATTGGCATGAGCCATCTGCAACCAGAAGCAACTGTTTCTTAATGGTGAGAAAAAGGGAAAATAAGGAGATGAGAGAAACAGGGACAAAGAATGGGGAAAGGGAAGACCAAAAGAGCATATATTTAAATTAATGTATTTGTTTCTACAGAAAACATCATCTAGAAAAACTGCTTTAAAGCATCTATGAGGAAATAAGTAAATGGTGTATGTGTGTGTGTGTGTGTGTGTGTGTGTGTGTGTGTGTGCAAGTGCACATGTTAAAGCATGTATGCATGTAAACAATATTTTTGTTTTGGTAGCTTACCAGAAAAGTATTCCTGAACCTCATGGCTTAGCCCTGTGATTAAAATTTTTTTTGTTACAATCAATTCATACAGCTGTGAGAACTATGCAAGACCTTTGAGCCCAGGGCCTCGAGCTTGTTTGGGCTGGCATTCTATCACTTGAGAAATACATTCAATCTAGCGTTTTGGCTGGTTAATTAGAGCTAGAATCTCAGAGACGTTTTCTACCCAGGCTAGCATTGAACTGTGAGTCTCTAGATCTCAGCCTAAGTAGCAAGTATCACAAGGCATGAGCCACTGGTGCCCAGCTAAAAATTA